GGACTGATGCTGTTGCCAGCCAGTCTGAACTTATTTAGGGGATCTTGGGCTTTTCCAGCCCTCTTCTTGGAAGTGAATCGAAGGACAAAGGGTCTGGATTGCTCATATCAGTGGTCAAACAGCCCATCGCCACCTTTGGTGCCAGACCCAAAACAGCCTCTCTGGCCCCTGGAGGAGCCTAGGGCCCCAAACCCGTGGAGAGTTCCTTAAGTGGTTCATAGGTGCTCCGGTCGGAGGGGACCTCAACAGATCATCGAGTCCGACCCGTGCCCGGGGCAGGAAAGAGCGCTGGGTCAGACGACCCCAGCCAGGTGCCTGTCCAGCCTTCTCTTAGAGACCCCCAAGGCAGGGGAGAGCACCACCTCCCGTGGAAGCCCATTCCAGATTTTGGCCACCCTTACCATGAGAGAGTTTTTCTTGATGTCTAGCCTGAATTTGCTCTGTCAGTTTGTGACCATTGTCCCTTGTTACCCCAAGAGGTGCTTGGTGAACAGCGCACCTCCGATCCCTTGCTGCATCCCCCTAACGAGTTTGTAGGTGGCCACAGGATCACCTCTCGACTGTCTCTTGTGGAGGTTGAAGACGTCCAGGTCGCTCAGTCTCTCCTCGTAGGGCTTGCCCTGTAAGCCCCTGACCATATGAGTTGCCTCCTCTGGACCCTCTTGATTCTGTTGAGATCCTTCTTGAAGTACAGCGCCTAGAACTGGATGCAGTGCTCCAACTGTGGTCTGACCAATGCCACATAGAGGGGAAGTATCACCCCCTCGGATCTATTTGTCATGCATCTGCTGATGCACGATAAAGCGCGGTTAGCTTTGCTGGCGATTTCATCACACTGACGACTCCTGTTCATCTCTGAGTCCCTTTCTGCTTCTGTGTTGCTGAGAGGGACACTTCCCAGCCAGTCCGTGTGCTGGATATTTTTGCACTTGTCCATGTTGTACTGCATCCTATGGTGTACTGCCCTCTTCTCTAGCCTGTCCAGGTCTGCCTGCAATCGTTCTGTAACAGGGGGCCTTCTCGGGGCCCATCAGCCAATGGCCCCACCCACCTGTGTCTGGGCCAACTGCCCACCTTTCCACCTGCCATGCCTTGTTAAATTAATGCTCTTAATTAGGTGGGAGGCTGCCTATTTTCTCACCCCAATGCCAGGGGGCGCGATCTGTGGCTCCGTTCCTCCCCTACACTGCAGCCCATGCCTTGCAGATGCCATCCACAGATGTTAGTCTCAGCGGCCCAACACTGGGCCCCAGAATCATCCAGTTCGGACCCCAACTGGATCCCTCCACTCAGGCAGCCTACCCTGCCCTCATTCAGGGCTGCCTTGCTCCCTGAACCATTTCCCCTCTGGGGCGTGGTTCCCCTGCACCCTTTGGCCACGCAGGCCCTGGCCTCACCTCCAAGGCCACTCGGAGACCCCAGGCCCTCAGCTCTGGGCATCCCTCGCCGTGGGCCCCTGGCCCTTTTGACTGGTCTGGTCCTGGTCCCAGCGTGGACCAGTCAAGGGTACTCTCAGTCAGGTCTCTGAGCCTCTAGCCCCACTCTCGCTCCTGCCTTCTGGCCCTACTAGTGGGTGATCCACCCGGTTGTGGGAGCTGGGGTTAAGGCACCCCAACCCGCCTTTCACCAGGGTGGTAACTGGCCTGGCATTTCCTGGGTGCTCCCACACCACTGTGAGCCCCACCAGGCCACCCACTCCCGGCAGGGCGCAGCTTTAAGTCATACCCAGAATCAGGACCAGGAGCCTCCTAGCCATCCCCTACAGCTCCCCGCTTACCTCCAGGATGATATCAGCAGGCTTGCAGCCAGGCGATGTTGCTACCTGGCCGCCAGTAGGGAATTCCCCTGTTTATATGGAAGCTCGGGATCTAACATGGCTGTGGCAATCAAGCACCTGCGGGCTGCTTGGCTCAGCTCTTAAAGTGGCAGCACCACCAGTGCCCTGCCGCACGTTCCCTACCCGCCGGAGCGTGTACTTCACCTCACAATTTAGTATTGTCCACGAACTTGGACGGAGTACACTTCACACCCACATCCAAGTCACTGATGAAGATATTGAAGACTTCAGGTCCAAGGACCGAACCCTGCAGAACCCAACTACCCACATCCTTCCAGGTCAATACCGACCCATCTGCTACCACTCTCTGGGTTTGACCGCTGAGCCAACTTGCCACCCACTGGACTGTGTAAACATCTATATCCCAGCCTCTTAAGTTATGAGACTGAACGGAGTGAAAGCTGTGGCCAGGCCCTGCAGCCTGGGTGTCCGCTCCAAGTCTGCTCCCCCTGGTCTGGGAGTTTTGGCAGTCTGTTCTCTACAGCTTCCTCTGCCTAAAACGTCCAGCTTCTGATGCTGCCGGGAGCTGGTGGATTTGTGCCGCTGTGGGCATGAGCAAGGGGGCTGTCCAGCTGCCCCACTGATCAGAAACCGCGTGTATGGCCTGGTAGAGCAGGGCATGGCTGGGATGCAGCTGGAGGATGGGGGAGGCAAAGTACAGTGGGACTCCGTGCTTCCAGATGGCTCGTGAGGGCACCTCGGATGCAGTGAGAAGGCCCTGTGCAGCGGGGCGGTCGGACAGAAGCTCTGCAGCGGCGTGGGCCCATGGCTGACTAAAGCTACAGGGACCTGGGCTTACAGGTTCAGCCCGGCGCAGGCAGTGGGGTCCGTGTCAGGAGAGCATGAGGCCACCGGCTGGTGCTAACCGGTCTCTCTCTCTCCCTTGTAGGATGTGTCCTTCCCTGGCTCTCGTGCTGATGCTGGCGGCACTGGGTGAGCAGAGAACCGGGGCCCCTGCTGCCTATCTGGAGGGTTCAGTAGGACGCCCGCTTGGGCTGCATGAGCAGCAGGCCTGTGCCCTCGAGCTGGATCCTCGCTCTGGAGGACAAGGTTTCCACTTGGGCACTGCCAGAGGATGGGCCCATGCTGGTGGCAAGGCTCCCTGCCCTGTGAAATGTCCCTCGCCTCTGCTGGCTGGACTGGGGGCCTGGGACCGGCTGGGCTCCCTCAGAGGTGGCACAGTGGGGGAGGCGAGGCCCCAGCTCGGTGGGGCATGCAGTGACTGCGGCCACAGGCTGCCACCACCCCGTGCATACGTGCATGTGTACGTGCACCTGGCCACGAAGCCCCGTGGATTGTCCCCTCTGGCTGGAGGGAGCTAATCCCACCCGCCCCATCAGCACAGGCCATGGCCAGGTTTGGGAGGGGCTGCCGGTCTGGGCTCACCTTGCCTGTGTCCTGCAGGGAGCGTCGGGGCGCTGGACCCCAGGGTCTTCACTTGCCCGGAGCTGCGGGCTCATGTCGGGGCCTCAGTCCTGCTGGAGTGTTTCCTCCTGGTCCCCGGGGACGGAGCCTGGACAGTGACCAAGGTGGACTGGGTGCACACGCCGAGAAACAGCACGGAGTCGGTGAGCCCGATGGCTGGCGGCAGGGGCTGGAGAGCACCCGGCGAGGGCAGCCAGGCCGCGGTGTAGAACAGCACAGGGCCCAGTGGGCTGGGAAGGGAGCACGAGGGCAAGCTCCTCTCCCTGCCAGGGCAGGGAATCCAGCCCAGCCAGGGTGGGAGCCTGCCTTTTTCTGGCGTGGTTTGGAGACCTTGGTCGGACGAGTGTCCCCTGCCCCAGGGGCCCGAGGCCCAGGCTGCAGCCCCAGCACGCACTGGCCCCACATCGGGACCCTCAGTGGAGAGGCCAAGAGCTGCTGGGGGCAGCTGTCCCATGCAGAGGGTTGGGGCCGTGGGGGTGTGCAGGCAGCGCCAGACCCGGGTGCATACAGAGGAGCCTGTGATGCGGCCTGGAGCACCACGGGGCTTGGCAGGGCAGCAGAGTGATGGGCCCGTGCCCCTCTTCCCCGCGCAGGAGGTGGTGGTCTTCTACTACTACAGCGGGCGCGGCGTCCCGGCAGGGCCTGCCCGGGAGCGCGTGTGGTGGCTGGGGGACGTGTCCCGTGGCAATGGCTCCATTGGGCTGCAGGACGTGCAGGAGGGCGACGGTGGCACCTACACCTGTGAGATCCGGGTGTCCGGGCACAGCAGCGTCTTCAAGAACCGCACGGCGCTGCACGTGGTCCCTGCCGCACGCAGACGTATGTGCCCCTGCCCCACAGGCTCCCTCGCCCCGGCCACATGCCCCCTTGCGCTCTGCCCCTGCGGTGTCTGCTCGGCCCCTCCTCTTGGCCTGCCCCAGACCCGTGGGCGCTGGCTCACAGCTCTTGTCACCTGAGATGGAGACCAGAGCAGGGGCTGGGGGCAGGGAGGGAGGGGAGGGCTGAGGACGGCCCCATTTCCTGTGTGCGGCGCCCCATCTCTGGGCACTGTTGAGGGGGCATGGGCTGCAGCTCCCCAGACTCCAGCTTGCTGGCTGTCCCCACGTCCACGAGTCGCCCTCCAGGACGGCAGGGACAGGTCCCATCCATCTGGGGTGCCTGGACAGCTTCCAGCCCCTGGGCTGCACGCTGGGAAGGGGCTCAGGCCAGCACGTGGGGGGCAGCTGCCTCGGAGGGGACCCAGGCCCCCATGGCGGAGCTGGACCGATGCCCTTCAGCTCTGCGTCTGTGCCTCTCCCCAGGCTCCTGGGCTGTGGTGACTGTGGGCCCCGTGGACCCCGAGAGCGCCGGGGGCAGCGAAGGAGGCAGCAGCATCGTGGGCTATGTCTGTGCAGCCGTTGGCCTGGTCCTCGCCCTCTTGCTGGCTCTTGGGCTGGTGCTCCGGACACGAAGGTACCAGTGTGGTGCCCCAGCTGAGCGCCCCAGCGGCTGGGCCAGGGAGAGCAGGATCAGTGCCGGACCGGCTGCCTTCCCCTGGTGCGGGCACCACCCACGGTCTCGTGCTGCCCTCTAGTGCCAACTGGCCCGACCCATTCCGCTTCTGCAGCAGGGTCCTGGGCTCCCAGAGCTTCCTGCCAGCCAGGTCTTGGGGCTCGGGCAAGGGCAGGAGCCGTGCCCCTGATGCCCTTGGTGCAGCAGTGCCCTGGGGTGCAGCCAGCTGCAGGGGCTGAGGTTGGCATGGGGCAATGGGGCGGGTGGGAGCATGAGTCCTTCCACTGATCCAGGAGGGCTCCTGGCCCCTTTTCACCACTATCCAGCCAGAGCTGGGCCAGGCCAGCACGGGGGCAGCTAGGTGTGCTGACCCGCAGGCTCACGGCTCCTGTTCCCTCCAGGTCCGCGGAGACCAAGGCCCTTGCAAAGAGCTGGGAGGACAGCAGTAAGAGCAAAGCAGAGGTGAGGGCCCAGCGGCACGGTGGGTGCGTCATCAGCTGGGCAGAAGCTGCTGGCAGGGGGTGGGGGGGTGGATGGGAGCTGCCCAGTTGCCCTTTACCACCTGCCCCAAGGTGCCAACCCATGTGAGCCCGGGGACCCTGCCCTGCCCTGCCCTGTCCCCGGGGCTCAGGGCCTGGGGGAGCCTGTCACAGCAGCTGCCCCGGCCTGATCCCTGCCCTGCTCTCCCCCAGAAAAGCATCTACTCCTCCATCCACGGCCCGGGGACGCCCAAGGCCGTGTGCGAGGCTGAGCAGAGCGGCAAAGCCGAGGCAACCTACGTCACCATGGTGAGACCCACGTGGGGCACACTGCCATGGGAGCGGGGTGGGGGCTGCCTGAGACAGGGCATTGCTTGTGGGCCAGCAGCCTTGCTGGGCTGCACTGAGCCAGCCAAGGTGTGGCCATGGCCTCACGTTCCCCCTTGCAGCCAGACACCCCCATGGTGCCAGGTTGGCCTCATCCTCATGCCAGCCTGTGTGCCCAAAGCCTTGGGAGCAGGCCAAGCATGATCTTTGAGAGCTGCAGCAATGACCAGGATGGTGCTCTGCTCTCTCCAAGCTGGGGGCATCCCCTTCAGACTGTCACAAAGGTGTGCAGGAGGTGCAAAGCACTGAAGGGACATGCCCAAGGTTATGCTGTGCACAGTGGCAGAGCTACAAGTGGCATTTCATCCTGCTGCTCACCAGGTCTCCCTCCTGGCTGGGAGGCAGTCAGTGCCCACGGTTGCCTGCCTTGAGCAGTCAGGGGCCAGTCCCTGCCCCACCATGGCGGCTGACGGCTCTGCCCATTGTCTGTCCCCACAGCGTCCTGTGGCTGCTTTCCCCAGGGCAGGCACCGTGCTGCTGGATGACAGCACCTACATCAACTTCGTGAGGAAGACAATCCCGGCAGAGTGGAGGCAGAAAGGACTGCAAAGCGAGGGTGAAACCCAGGGAAGCAGGAAAGCTGGGGATGGAGCAGCCTGTCCTGGGGTGGAAAACCCCTGTGCTGTAGAGGCGGGATGTGAGCCTGAGGCCCAGCCTGGCAAAGCCACCTTGGACACTAGCTCAGGCGAGGGGCAAGCTCTGCCCACTCCACCAGGATGCTGTGGTGCTGGCACTCGGCCCCATGGAGACAAGGACCCTGCTATGTGCTGACCCGGTGCTTCTCCGATCTCTTTGGACTGCAGTGGTGCCTGGAGGCCTGCTCAGGATCGGGGCCCTGCGCTCAGCACAATGTCCACATGCCACTAATTATGGACGCAGCGCGGGCTGGGCGCCTGGCCTGGCCTCCGGGGGCTGCTGGCTGCTGCAGGGACCTGGTGGGACAGGGAGCGCAGCTGGGCCCAAGGAAACGGGTCGTGCTCTGGGTTGGTCCTCGGCCCGGAGCGAGCCGGCACGCGGCGGTGCCCCGCAGACAGGCAGTACTGGTATGTGCAGCCCCACGCTCGGCTATGGCACCTCTGGGGCCAGGGGCTTAGCCGCGTGCCAGTGAGAGCCGTGCCAAGGCGCTGGCATCTTGTTTGGACAATAAAGTGTCAAGCGGAGCCAGGGGGTTTCCTGCTCTTGGCTAGTGTTTTCTTTTCCAGGGCCGCGGTGTGGGGGGAACTGCCCCACGTCCTAGCACACAGCTCAGCAGCCTCCGTGCCGCGTGGGCAGCTGCCCCATGCAGCCCCTGGCGCCCACATGGCACGTCTCCGACTGCCCGCTGCGAGAGGGCCCTGGGCACGGGACGGGGTGGTCCTGACGATGCCCTGGCACCACTCGACCCCTTGCCTCCCCTTGCAGATGCCAGGTGCTGGAGGCGACTGGACCGGGTCAGGTGCTGGCCTGGGAGCCCCGGCTGCGGGCGAGAAGCGCCCCGGAGGCAGGCAGGAGGCCGGGCCGGGCGGGCGCACCTCCCCGCCTCTATATATAGATGTGTGACACCTCCAGGTGCAGAGCTCCTGGCCCTGGCGGGGACCCTCCGCGCGCACGGATGAATGCAGCTCGGGGCTGGTGCTGCAGTCTGTTGTTTCACGTTGCCACCCCACTCGGTTTTCTCACAGAGGCAGCGTTGCCGGCTGCTGAGCTGAGAGCTGGCAAATTTGATGCACCGGACATGAGTCGCCACGGGAAGCTGTCCTCTCCGCGCCGCGTGGCCACCCAGGCGCCGCACCCGGGAGACTTTGCACCGCGCATGTAATGTGTCCACTTAACACGTGCTTCGCTTCGCACGGCGGCGTCCGGTAGAGGTCCCGGCTCTGACTGTCCCGCACTCGCCTCCTAGGACGAGCTGCCACCTCCGAGGCCCGGGGCTGGTCCAGACACGGCTCTGCTCTCAGGCTGAGACTGCCCAGCCGGCACACATCGAGCGTTCCCCAAGGCCCCGGTCCCCAGCGTCTGCCTGTGCCTGGGGCCTCAGCCTCACGTCCCAGCTGTACAGCGCTCTATTGCTGCGGGGCCTGGACTCTGGGGCAGGGGAGGAGGAA